GCAATGTGTAACTCTACGGGTTTAACTAGCAGACTTATCGCAGGTTTAAGTAGGCTGATCTGTACAGATTTAACAACGTGGAACTATACAGATTTAACAAGGTGGAACCCCACGATTTATTTCAACGTCTAATTGTTGAAGGATTCCACCAAAGCGCAGAAAAGGCCCGATCACTACTGCTTCGATCTATACACTGAACTGGAAGAGATAGCAATCGTTGTATTCTCGTTTCATTTGTTAAGCAGGAAGATAAAGACAAATCTGATAAACGGAAGCGCGCCTTAAGTATGGATTTTAAACCCCATGGCAATTCAATTGCTATACGCAATGATTTAATAAGACGGCAATCACTTGTTGCAAAGAGAGCAAGGGAAATCGCTAACCGTCTGCGGCAGCGTGGCTTTTACGTATTAGTTGCTGACACTCGCGTTGCTGTTAATGCTCCACCAAACCGTAAGTGGTACGATATTGATGACGATGCACTTGAGGGTTTAATGCAACGAATATCTGCATACTATTCGACTTCTCTGCTTATTGTTTTCCGTGAATTTTCTTGAGTTTTAAAATTGAGTTTACTTTTTATTAAAACTCAGCTTTCTTGATTCCACACACGCTATTCGGAACCTTCATAAATTTAGGTTACAATGCCCAATTACATTGTTTCTATACCTTTGTTCGGTCGTTTCTCCCCGTTCCGAAGGATTCCCACTAACCATTTCTCTCCATCCCCGAGGACTGCAGCGTCGTTTCCTTCTGTACTTAGGAATAACATGGCTGTTCCTCCGCACTAGAAGTATCACATGGCCGTTCTTTCCTTTCTGAAACGTTACGTGCTTGAGCCATCGTAGAGGAACAACCAGTCCCTCAGCGATTCGTTTCGATAGTAAATTGATACTGTGATATATGCCAGGGAGTCAGATCCGTCATCAGCTTGCTCAGAAGAGAGAGCCGTTGACAGCTCTGGCAACGGCAGGTTGCTGTCACTCTTGCTGCTTCCCGAGTGCCCCTGCCTCTTACTGAGAGTGAAGTATTTGACTAGTCGAGTGCTTTCTTTATAAACTACAGCATGGTTAAGTCCAAATGCGGCACATCTTTTGGCGTGCAGGAAGAATACTAAGTTGGGCGGCTGCCACTTGGCAAGGACGGGCGCAACTTCCTGTGAGAAGACAGGAGGCAAAGGTTTCTGGGTCCTCTATAACTGAACCGACTTTTTGCATGTCTCATCATCCTAGCCACTTGCACCGAGAGATAGACTGAGGGGGAAATTGACTGTTGCTGGACTGGTTAAAGGAGGGGGGGAGGGGGGTGCGTCACTGTTCAGAGTTTTTCCACATAATGCGACGGGACATGTTTTTTACATCAGCAGCAGAAGCGATGGACGACAGCTACAACATCGAATCAGTGGCGCGTCATGCAGCAGAGCAAGATGATGATATCACACTCGACGATCGACTTTCTGTATGTTCTTTAGCAAATTTTCAGAAAATTCCGCGCTAAACATTTGCGGGTTGCTTTTGCTTCGATTGGTCCCTCTGCATCCCTGTTATGGCCCAGTAACACCAGAATTTCCACGGTTCCGCTCTGGCCTTCCTTTTGATGCTTTTTATAATATTATAAGATGAAATGGACCAGGGATTAGCAGCAGGCTAGAGGACCGGTGTTGTGCAAAAATTAACCGTCCCCCGTTAGGTGGGTGGGAGACCGGCCCCATGAAAAATTAACCTGGTCCCATTAAGACCGGGATTTAGTGCGGCTATCAGGCCGCTCCCTGTTATTTTGGCATGTCAAGTCGTTGGACCCCGTCGAGGTCTGGCTACTGCCAGAGGATGCAATCTTTCTTAGGAACCTGCAAGTCTGAGTGTCGGATGTCAGACATTCAAAGAATACTCTCTCGCCGTACACAGTTGATGGGGGGCGGAGCTGCAGTAATATCTGTGATGGGGGCGGGGCTAGTAATTTCAAGATAACAACGGCGCTCCTCGGCAGAGGTTGCACGCTTATATGTATCTGGAATCGTGAAATTCACGTGCGGTTTCTATAACCCGTGCTTCCTTAAATGAATTTAGGTGCATATGTGTGTGTTTAGGTGCATATGTATTCGGCCCAATGGTTGACTGTCTGCGACTGCTCTTCGTAAGAAACTAAGTAAATAGCACGACCAGCTGAAGCGCCCAGGTCTTCCCAAGACTTGCCTTCCTACGTTTAGTCTGGCGCCACAAACTTAGTCCTTTAGAAGCAGCTACTTCCTTTCTTAACGACTACTCTGAAGTCGTAAGGATCCGAACGTAGTTAATCTAGAGAGGAATAAAGTTGAATCTTTTCACTGGAGAATCTTTTCATTAGAATATAGAATCGGAGAATCTTCTTACAGCACAAAATCTTGACCCTGCTGAACTTAAAAAAAAGATTGCCTGCGAGTCAGCACTTGCTTATATCACGGTGTTTTCGTATTATATACACACGTCGCATCCCAAATTCTAAAGTTTTAAAAACGAAGCAATATATTTTCGGGTAAAGGAGATAACGTGTATTACAAATTCTAAAATCTTATAAACAGACCAATATATCTCCGAGTTTTTCCGACACTAACTATAAATTGATATCTTGGGGCTCGAAGCAAAATATAATGTAACAAATAAAAGATTTTAGACTACGGATATTCTAGACGAAATGTTCCCCCATTCGACCGAATCTATTTCGATGAAGATATATTTGTTGGTCATTTTAATAAGTGGTTTGTGCAATGTAGAGATTGTACGCTGTTTTCTGTTTGGAATGTGACGGGTTTGTTAGTTGTTTTAACAGGTAGTTTATTAAATGTAGCAGTTGCACTGCCGTCTCCTATGTGGAGTGTGAAAATGTCTTACGTGATATTGCTTAAAAACTTGCATTATATATGTTTTTTGAAAAAAAATTTCTATACTGCATGTAAAGTTGTGTGTAGTTACATTGTACATAGTAATGTCTAACCTTTTGTGATTGACAATAATTATTTGAATGAAATTTCCATTACCAGGTACAAAATATTTTGAAAAATGGAATCTATGGCATGAGAAAGCTCGGCATTTAGTGAACAGTTTAAGTCGATTCAAACTTCGGTCATTATATGACATTGGAATTGTAGCATTTACAAAAATATTTAGGGCTGATTCTACTCTCAGAAATCGAGCTAACTGAGCGCGTGGAGTGTGAAAATGTTACAGAGTGAATATTGCTATCAAAATGGGAGTATCGATTAAAGCTTTGTTTTAGACGTCCGCGCTTAAAACCCAGACACAAATGAACAATGACTACAGATTATAGGAATGACATATGGGATGGGAACATATTTGTAAAATTTTCCAGCTTTCTGGCTTCTCCAGTGCTGAAGTTGAAAGCGGGTAACAAAGTTCGCATATATATATATATATATATATATACATATATATATACATGTATATACATATATATATATATATATATGTATGTATATACACATATATATACATACATACATATATATACATGCACGGGCCTACACACACAGACGTATACATATTGGCAACTTCTTGACAATAAGGTTTTTGCATTAGCAAAGATGCACAAAAATTCAAGAAAAGTGGAAGTATAAAAATAAAACGACTTAAGACCATAGAAGTCTATAGCAAAGAATATTGCCTCAGGTCTATTTTTTCGCCTCTTTTAAAAATGCATTTTGCTTGTTTAAATATTACGTTTTGTTTGATTGTTTCCGAAAACACTGTCGATCATGGGCCGGTTCTTTTGCAAAATTCTGCACATTCATTAAACTTAGTGCTCGCAAACTTAATTCCTATGTTTGTCTTCCGGCAGTAGCTATTTCGGTATTTCTTTTGCGCGAAAGAGATTCGCTTTTTTCCTTTTTTTTTCTTCCAGTGGGCTTCCAAAATGCTTGAGAATGACCGGCGTAACTAGAAGCCTAAATCAGGAAATGTTACTACGTGATCAGAAATGACTAGAAATACTATAATGCTAAATTAAATGGAAAAATTTTTTGAAAAAGACTAAAAGTTTTAAAAAAATGACACTCCAGCCCGGTCAAAAGTAGAACAGCACTAGTATTTCGGAGCACTGTGGTAAAACAGGTACAGTGCAACAAACAAAAAAGGTACCAACAGGTGAAATGCTTGTCAAAAGAACTG